AAGTCGTTCAGTAAAATGAAATGCGAAAAACGCGCGGGGGCTGGGGAGAGACTTATTTTCGCTTTGCTCGTTTTTTAAAAATATATTAAAATACGTCCCCGCTATACTATCTGAAAGCTCAGCCTGGCACAGGTCATTCGGAAGCGCACGGGTCGGTGCAAACTCCAAAGGAAAGAAAAACACAGGATTTTTCAAGATTAAAGGCGCCAAGATTTTTCAAGTTGGAATAATTAAAACAGAAATTTAACAACTCGTTTAAGTGTTTTAAAGCTGCTAACATATACATCATTCTACAAAAGCTACTCAGTGACTATTGTCACATTTCCTGTACTGCAAATTTCAAGTGATTTGGTTGTAAAAAACACGAGCTCGTGGACAAATCCTGTAGGCGTGAGCCAAGGTTTGACCACTTTAAGTTTTTTGTTTCAGTTGCACTGACGTCAAACGTGCAAAAACCGTAGTATAAATCAAAACCAGGGAGGAAGTAAAAATCCCAGGGCGACTAGAACTACAGGAAAATACTGCTTCGTAGCTTTCATCAAAATTATGACACTCGAAAATAGAGACTTAAAAGGTGGGACTACTTTGCTGATTGAACACACTTTCCTCAATCACGGAAAGACACTGGTCAGTAGAAGCAGTGACCGTCTCAAATGTATGGTGCAGTATTTTTAGACAACGTTGTAATAGATAGTGGCAGACAAATAAATCTTTTACATAGTTTATACTCTTAGCAATCTTTTTCCTTTGGGGGGAAGGGGGGGTCTTTCTGCAGGTACCGTCAGCACAAAAGTAACAAAGGAACGAATTAACTGAGAGCTCACAACTATGATTTTTGAAAAACTATTAGGCTAACAAGCTTTCAAAAACTACAATTGCAATGCGTTTCAATCCTCTTCAAGAGAAGTTTGTCCATCCGTGCCTTCAGATATCGTTGTGTGTGGTACAGTTGTGTGGTAAAAAGAGTCGTTTAAAAAGTAATACAACATGAAGAGAAAGCAAAACCGCAGCCAAAGTGGCGAGGATATATAATTATAAGCGCCTTGAAAGCTTAATCCATCAGTTCGCGGAGGAACAGAACAAATTAGCGATGATAAATGTGCCACAAAGCCTTTTCTAACCACAAACGGATCAAGTTTTATTTTAAAAACAAGAATTGTAACACTTCAACAGAGGATTAATTTTTCGGTGAAGTTTCCGCCATTGTGCATTTCGTGTCTCATGCCTCACGCATGGCTCGTGTGTTGGCTTAGAAGGACTCGTTTCGATCCCGGGGGGGGTACTCGCAGAAAAATTGGGTAGGGGTGTGCGGCCCGCTTCCCAAAACCCTTACCCTATTTATGACCAAAATCTGCGATTTTCCCTACCCTATTTATGACCTAACCAAAAATTTGATACCCTATTTATGACCTGACCCTTAATTAATACCCTGTTTCAGACCTGCCTTATAATTATTTCCCTAGTTCAGACCAATGTTAAAGGCAATGTTTATCTGCTTTTATTAGGTAGGTTATAATACTGCAAAGTTAAGACTACAGTCCAAAAATCGTTACCCTATTTATGACCAAAATGGCGGCAAAATAGCCAAAATCGATACCCAATTTATGACCAAAACGGCTGAAAAACCCTACCCTTTGGGGCCGCACATACCTATATAGCCCAATTTAGGGAGTACCCCCCCGGGGTTTCGATTTACGTACATAAAGTAATTGGAAGCGAAAAACCAGATATTTCCTTGTCGTTAGAATTAAAAATATATATACAGAAACAGAAATTAGTGGATTCTCCGCTCTCGTAAGAACTAGACAAAATACATTACGCAGGAAACACTTCGAAAATTTTACTGCTTTATTTTACCGGACGCTAAGAGCGATTTAAAGTTTCTGTTACATTTGTGCGAATTTCATTTTTGTGGTTCTTGATATTTAAACGCAGCCCTATCGAAGGTAATCTCAAACAAACTTACTTAAAGCAAGGTTTACTCTTTTTAAAAACGAAGACTTTTAGATCACAACGGAGCGAAAGTTCGGAGGAACGCCAGAGGGAAAATACAGCGAATACGAAAGACGGAAGAACCGCGCCAAAAAAAAGAGTTCGGGGGGGGGGGGGGTACTCCTGGGAATTCTTGGTGGGGGTGTGCCGCCCGGTTCTTCAAATCCTGACCCGATTTCAGACCAAAAAATGTAATTTTCCACACCCGTTTTCAGACCAGACCTCTAAAATCCATACCCGTTTTCAGACCTGCCCTTTAGGCAGAAATTCTGTTATCATTACCTAGATTAGAGCGCAAACAAAGAAATTATTCAATCCATTTCGAATTCGCATAATTCTCTTTCTTTCAATTTGAAATTGAAACGATACATACGGTTATACACTCCGTAGTTCCCTCGAAAACCATACCCGATTCCAGACTAAAATGGACAAAGCGTAACCCGTTTTCAGACCGAAACGGCGCAAAAACCCTACCGGATGGGACGGCACATACCTATATGGCTATATAAGGGAGTACCCCCCGGGAAAGAGTTCTCTCTGTTTTCCCCATTGATTTTTTTTTTCCAAATTCAAAATCTTCGCATTGCTCGCCGAATTTGGCCTAGAACATGATACTGGTCTATCTGATCCGCCGAAGGGTTGCACCCCAAATTCCATCCAAAAAACCAAAAGCTTGTTAAACTCATCACGAGTAATAAAATACATGACAGGATTATTGAAGGCAACTTTAAAACATTTCCGGAGATTCTTAGCAAAGCATACCATACAAAATTCATATAACTCCGCAGCGCGCTCGTGTCCGATTTGATGGAAAAATGGTAGAAACAAAACTGTGAAAAAATGAGTCTCCATGCAGTCAAAAATTTTTAACCAAAAAGCATTAATTGTACTTTGTTAGACCAGAAAGGACGGAACGGCGGCTATGACTTTTGTAAAATCGTAAACAAAATTCTTCGAGTCTTCAACGAAATATTTTTGTGCCGACACGCCCAGGGAAGAAATATGCTGTTTTGTACACGAATCCGTCTTTTCATGCCCAAAGAATTTGCGTTTTGCTGTCCCAAAATGCGCCAAGCAACAAAAAGAAGTTTCAAATAACGTTCCAAAACAAAACAAATGGCTATAGCATTAAATGCTAAGAAAAATGTGCAAGTGCCACAGAAAGATCTGCGAGATAGCTTTCATCTAAATGGTCACACCGGCTTCAGAATTTTACCCAGATACTCAAAGTTTGAAACAAGCTACATACCATGACTGTTTGAGAGGGAAGAAATGGATTATATATCAGGGGAGTAGCGTCCATATACGCAGATACGCCCGAGCAAACAGTTGAAATATCAAAAATATACTTATTTCTAATTTCCTGAAAGCATTTTTATCATTAAATCGGAATGAATGATAAATCTTTCGCATTATTTTGGTGTATAGACCGTTTCGCCTTCTGCATTGCTTGTAACCTTTTTGATGACGTCACTGTTTTGCCCTTTTTTCGGTAAATACTGTACCGCGCTTACCGATTAATGCTAGAAATGTAAAATAAACAACTAAATATTGTCTTTTTCTTCGCATTTATTTACTGAAAATGCCCTGCGGAAAACGCAGGAAATGGCATTTCTGAGCCCCTATTCCTGAGGGAGCATGCCCCCACGCCTCCCCAGTTTGCAGTACCTTCGGAGGTCTAACCTTTCTTTCCGTGCGCACACCTTCAAAACCTCACACTACGCTCCTGGATATCTGTTTACAACCGACGTCGAGAATAAGCAGCTCAGCGAAGAAGTTTGAAAATAGCAACCTCTTTACAAGAGTTCCCTCATTGCTGATTTTACTGTGTACTAGAAGTCTCTCGAAGAGGACTAGCTGGGATCGCGAGACAAGACCTAGTCCGACAAAATAAATGGAATTATTAACAACCTCCCTCCTCCCTTGATCAAGGATGGGGAAATGGCGCGTTTTAGCTTCCGCGCGGCTTCAACCTTGATTCGAAGAGAGGGTATGGGGGAGGTTGCTTTTCGTTTTTATCTGTCGAAAATTAAGCCAGAGTCAGTAATGTAGCCGTGACCTGGGTATCTTTCTTCGGTGTACGCACACGAAAGGTACTTTAACTGTGGCTAAGTTTTTTGCCTGCTGAGCAGTATTATCCTGCTATACGTTCATTATGCTGCTCAGATGAGGTTCAAATTTCCCAGTCTGTTGATAAAGTTCGTACTGAAATGACTATATAGATGAAAGCTACTTTACAGTTAATTTCTTGATTGCTTAGCCTAGCCTGGCCAGCAATCACACTCTCTCTGGGGCTCTTTTCCCTCGTACTCCACCTCCACAGAGCTTGCTCACTGGCTATATGATTGTAAAGTGGAGTGTCATCTTAAATAATCATTTTTTTAAGGGAAGAAAGGGTGCGGTTTACAGGTGTCGGTTATTCACAAAGCACTTTGCAATTCACACAAAAGTGACTTTCCGATCCGAATTTGCACACACGTCTCAAAATCTTTAAAAGGCCTGTTATTTTTATGTCAAGAGTTGCTTTCAGACAAACGCATCATCAGGACCACACAACAAAGCGACGATTACTAAACGGGTACTAAATACCGACTTTAAAAACAATTTGACACCGCTAAATTTAAGTGGAGCAGCTGATCGCTGATTGGCTAGTCAAGGTGTCATGGTGTAAGGTACAAACGCGAGACACGAAAACCTCTGAAAGGTCAATTTCCTGGCGCGGAAAACGAAAGAAGAGAAGAGAGAGGGCGATTTAATACGTCAATTTGTCCTTATTGCGAACGTTCTGGGGTAGCTACCGGAGCAAAAGGTTATCGGGTTGGGCTATTATAAATGAAAAAGCAATTATAGCGATCAGGTAAATTGAAGGCAGACTGTAAAAAACACGTTTGACATAAGCCATTGAAAGTGGTCAGACAATTAAGCGCGAGTGCTTGTGTGTATAAAGGAGACCCGTCGCGAGATCATACTGCTATTCAGTGTTATTGCACGATCGTTTAGTCAGACACATGGCGTATCAACCGTTCGACGGGGTAAATATGGATGCACATTCCTTATCTCCTCCTGATGGGTCGGCCTGCAGCTCAAGCGGATCCGAAACAAGTTTGAGTCCCACACCGTCGCCACAAGCGGTTTACTATCCAACAGGACGCAGGATAAGTCTATCGTATCAAAACCAGTGCCAGTCATACATGAAACGACTTTATACAAACAGCAGGGAGCGATGGAGGCAACAGCACGTCAACATGGCTTTTGGAGAGCTTAGAAAACTACTACCGACTTATCCGCCCGAGAGAAAACTTTCCAAAAATGAGATTTTAAGACTAGCGATGAAGTACATCCGATTTTTGGATGATTTGGTCAAGGACATGAGCGCCGAAAGCAACAAGGAAAAACACGACTCACACGAGAACTGTGATGTAGGTCTAAAAAAGGAGCGAAGTGAACTTGAGCAATTACCCTGCGAAGGATATCAGACAGGCTGTGATCTTTCATTAACGAATGATGCGAACTTTGAAAATCGACCTTCCAGCACCGATCTGATATTCGACTCGCCTTAGGCTTTTCGATAAGAAAATACCTAAATTTATACCACGAACATACGTTTCACATTGAATTCGGCCCGTTGATATCGCGGTCTGATAAAAATCAGTAATGACTGCAAGGAAAATTAGACGCTACATATCGACCGTTCCCCGTATCATATCGTGAACTTTGCAAATGAATTGTAAATAGTGTAATTTATTTTTGTTACCTAAACGCGTTTAGGCGAGTAATGGTGTTTACTATTATGCTTTAAGTGTGTAAATAAGGTACATTTCGAGCTGTTTTTGTGTAGGTTTTGTTTACTTAAGGACTAAACTACATCACACTTGAAGAGCTCTGGTTGATACACTATCTTATACGTGCTTTTTGGTGTTTAGCTCTTTAAACTATTGTGTTTATCTGTCTACCGATTTGCGATCAAGAAAAATGTAATTAATAAACACTTTTTGTTGATCAAGATCTTGTCGTTTCGTGTTATCATCTGTCTGTATATCCGCTCGCTTCTAGGACTTTTGCATTAAAATGTTAAATGCCACCATGTGGTCCCTGACGGGGGCGTAAATTAGATTTACACGAGTAAAGTGTAAATTCGAACGCGTGCAAGTTCGAAGGAAAAATGTTTGCTCGCCTCGAAGAAAAATTAGTGAACAAAGAGGCTGGTGTTATCGGCTTTTCGTGTCAATAGAGTACCCGCCGAGATTGAAAGAACCAAACTACTTCACCCAAGGGTAATGTTTCTGTCTAATTCGGAGATCGCAAAGCAGATATAGGGACTTAATACTAAATAAAGGACCCATCACTTGCGACAGTTCTGAGAGAGGGAGAGCGGATTATTTCTCTGACAAGACCGCGACGTTCTTCGTTTTAATACAGCGGAAGGAAGGATGAAGGATATTTTCTTCGTTTTCACAGTTTTCTGGTTTAAACTTATTTAAAAAAATCCATTAAGGGTGTCTTTCCGGGAAGTTTTCCAGCATTTCAAATGCGTCTACACCCCTAATTTTAAACAATTTCAGTCATTCATGCTGACTTCTGCCAATCTCCCCTACAGCGACTTTGAATATATTATCAAACTCTTCACTTATTGAAATTGGATTGAAATTACGTCTGTGTGCCGTTTGAAATAATTGTTACCAGTAAAACATCAAAAGATACTTAGCTTGTGAATGTTTCACAAGATTTGTTCACTTATAGAAAACTTTCACACAGTTTTCTTTCGTTTATGAAGCACACTTTCTTAATCCTGTGATTAGACTGCGCGCAATTTTCAGACCTAAGTTTTGTGAAACAGCAACAAAATAAAATATTTTCATTCAAATGGACCGAGTTTGCCAAGAAATTGGGCCATTCAAAACTTTTTCCGGCAGTGTGTCTACGACTATGAACAAAAAGTATTGGAGATAAAACAGTCTCAAACCAGGGACAACCAATTTTTTTACTTAAAGCTTTTACTGAATAACTTTTACATGCATTCCAAACCAAAAATCGACAAAAAAGAAGCAAAACTTAAGTTTTCTGCGAAGGCCATCATCACTGAACCATCAAGCGAGAAAAACAATCGCGTCAGTTTTGAAGGAAACGGAAAGAGGAACGATTAACCTTTAGTTTGGTGTTAAATTCCCTCTAATACCCACACAATAACAAACAAGAGGTATGAAAAAACTTCTCCGAATGCACAACAAAAACAAACAACAGTAAATTATTAACAGATGCGCTGTTACTAAACTTGGCGCAAATTTCGTGGGTTGGATGCGTGATTGTAGAAGTAACATATGAAAGGGAAACATTTGAGACCACAAGTGTTGACAAGCAAGCAAAACGTTGATAAAAGGCGAGATTCATTTTCCATTTACGCAGATGGAAGGAATTTCAATTTGTTCTCAAAGCTTACTGGCGTCATCTTTGGGCTCGTCATCTTGTCATGTGGTGTATGAGAGAAGACAAGTACGCATGTTGAAATAGGCGGGCGGTCACCCACTTGTGAATAGGCACAAAAATCGCTGAGAAAAAAATCCGTTAAATCTCTAAAATCTAATCCTCTTTAAGAATTCAGTAACCTATATCCACCGTAAAAACTGTTAAACACACAGCCTAGAAGAATTAAATGGGACTGAAAAATGCCTTTCGCGAGCTTAGAAACGAGGAAACTGAAAATCTAAGGATTGAAGAATATTTTCTACAAAAGTGGAAACTCGTGTCCTCCCTAAAACAACTGACTATAGAGCAGAGCGGCAAATTCAAAAGTGACAGTTAATTGCATGTATTTTCAGGAGAATATTTGCATCAACGTACAGTTGTGGCTAAGGAAAACCTGAAACAAAAAATTCTTTCGCGATTTACTTATCCAGGTGTAATGATCTCTTTGCTACAAAGACAACAAAAGTTTCAAGTCAACAAAAAGATAAGTCCTTTTGTTTAGTTTACCAATCATTTTTTGTAATCGATCAGTCATTAAAATACAATATCTAATAAGCAACGTCGTGTCCCATTTAGTTTCGTAAAAAATAAATACGGGAATCTAAAACAGACATAAAATAATTTAAAGAAGTAAACTGCAAAAATCCGTGGACGAAGATCTTGCCGGTGGTCAGCTGGTTGGATCTCAAGAAAAGAGATCTAATCAGCTAAAAATATATATTGATAAAAAAACGAGAAGTCAAAAGACAACTGCAAAGTTGTAACCCCGAAGAAGGCTGGTCTGGCCAGTCGAAATATCGTTTGAAAATGTTTTCAATAGACGTTGTTATCCGTTTGGCAGTGGTCTTGGATTTTCTTGTTTATTAAACAACCTGCCTTTTTGTAAGACGGCATCTTGTAATTCTAAAAGATACAAGGAAACAAAACTTTTTGTTTTTTAATGATACTTTTCGTCAGAAGGAAATAAAAGCTGCCAAAAAAGAACAATGTTAAACTTTTTTTATTTTGAGGCGAGCACGCTTCCCACCTATAATTACTTCGCTTGTTTTGTCTAAGTACTAAAATTAACTTACAATCATTCCCTTTCAAATATATCGCAGACAACAGAAGTGTGACTTTTTTTATAAGCCTTTAATAGCAAAGAAGGAGAAATTCTTTTTGTTTGCGCTGTTCTGTTTTTCATTTTATCCCGAACAAAAAAACACGTAAACCGCCAAGTCGGCAGATGAATTTTGTGTTGAGTTGAGCGGTGAGTAGAGAGAAAAAGGTTTTTTAGCTTTTTTAATCCTTTATAAAAACAGTAATTTCCGTTTCTTATCATGGCCTGATCTCACTGAAAGGCCAAGTATTGTTCGCTTGGAGGTATAAAGTGAGAAGAATAATATTTTCTTGCTTTGAATGTTTGATCGCGGCATGAAATATCCGGTCATTGTTATGCGACAAAGTAGCAAGTGAAATGCCGCTTTGAAAAGATCGCGGGCTGAAGGATAAGGAAGTTTTCGGCAACGTCGGCAAAAGGCCTTTTTTACGTGGGAATAAATCTCAACGACCTGAACTTTACTAAGGTCTCTTTGAATTTTAATCTCTTAGAAACGGAGAGCTAACAGGATGTCCGTTTTAATTGTGACCCCATTGTTAAACTGTACTTTCTCATGGCGAGTCTTTCTAGAGGGGAGAATACGTCTGGTAATTGGAAGTTTTTTATATATCCACAGCTTATCTGATCGATACCTGAGCAACCCATTTGAAACACTTGGTTAACACAAAGCGTGTGACTGCGTGTGGCGCGGCACGCGTCTCGAGAAAACACGTGGCGTTGAGAACTGGGGACGCAGCTGCATACAGAGAACAAAGAACAAAACGAAGCTCCCACACTCGCAGGGTAAAGTTTTGCAGGAAGGCTAAAGACCCTCTCATTTTGAAGAGACGGGGGAAGACGGCGAAGGAACACTGCCGGCGAGGGCGAAGAAAGAAATCAATGTCGAAAAGCGAACGGCGGAAAAGAGATGGATCAATGAGAGAATAAAAAGACCAGAATGTAGAAACCCCCACCCCTCCTACCCTACCCCTCTTGAATTTCGTTAGATAAGTATATATTCCCAAATCTCCCTCAAATTCACTCTGTTCGTCAAGAGAAGTGTAAGGCATTGATAGTAACACACCAATATGGTGTCGGCCGCATCGAGGATTCCCCCCAAAAAGGGAGAGTTCACTGCAATGTTAGTACGACTTGTTTTTAAATTTAAATGTATTTCCCAGCAAGAAGTAATGTCATAACCGTAGGACCATTTCGATTACCGCAAATTATCGGCAATTACCTCGAAAGTTTAAACCGATTTGTTATTTTAACCTTTCTGACTTCTTTAAAATGACCAAGCGCGTAATTGAAAACATTTGGTGATTCCATTTTGTAAACGAAAAAAAAGCATCACAAGAAATCGTTTTTTTCGAGATACGGCTTACAAATATAGAGTTTAGGACACCAACCGCAAATCAGAATTGAGCCGCAAACACCCACACGTGAAAGCTGTGATCGCTTAAATATATTTTGTACCACTGCGAACTGGGCGGGTGAAAAAAAATCTTAGCAAAATTCGCGTGTCAGTGACACAAAGGTATCTTAAACCTTTAAATGCATTCCAAACAAATAGATAAATTCAAGCAATTCAGTGATTTCAACAGTAAGGGGAAAATATATGATTATAACCTTATTTGGTTTTAAAGATAACATCTTCGAATTGCTTAGTTCGGCTGAGGTCCCAAAAGCCGCTATAATGTGAGCGCAGTTTTATTAAACAAATATTTAGATTTCACAAGGAGCATATTTGTTTAAGTAGAAGTGTTTACTTGACTAACCAAATGAATAATATTTAGATAGTCTTCCTGCAGAATTATGGCTTTTTACGGGAAATGAACTGCTTTGTTTAATCAAGGATAAAGTTTGACATCTTAAGAAATCGCAACATAAGCTGGATGAGCGCCTATAACAACCAAAGTTTCACCCAATCAGCTGAAGGCTACTATTTACCAATGAAATTGCCGCTTTTAAAGGTTTTCACAAAAGAAAGGTGAATGCCTAACATCTTTAACATGCACCCTTGCTGCAAATATGGGATCACAAGTTGTTCTATTTTAGGCAGACTGCTGCCTCCAGAATAATTATAAAAGATAGCAGCCAAACATGCAGCCGTAGTCAAAACAAACACCCTTCCAACTTAAAATTTTGGATTAAGAGAAGACTTTTTTCTGGGCAGCTGCCCAGAAGGAAAAATAACTCTTACCATAAATCCATTGTTACGCCAAAAAATGCCACAAGAGTTTTCTCTCAGTGAAAGCTTTACGTTGTACAGTAGTATGCGATAAAGAGTTCGGTGTCTTTAACAGCGTAAACTTATTGATGTGCATTTGCTTGAGGAAAAATGTATCTTGTTTTCGCTAAAAGGCTTGAGATTATCTGAGCCAGCAGATCATGTGAAAAATGTTGCTACGCAACGTGTCGTCTCGACACTTATGAGTTTAACGCACAAGACCACTCTTGTCCCCAGATCCCATCGTCTGTTTTGGTCACGTGTTTAAACAAAGAATGGTGTTTGCAACCTCGTTTCCAAGAACGAGGTTGTGGAGTTAATCAAGCTGAGATCAGTGGTTAACTGATAATCGTGAATTGTTATCGTGAAGTCTTCGGAATATTACGAAGATTTTTCGGATACCACACTTGTTTCCTCGGCAATTTTACTTATAGATCATCATAATAGATACCATGTTATCTGCGTTTTTCTTTCATGGCTTTTTTGCTGGCTTCCCTTCTTCTTTTGTTTATGGGGTTTCGTGGGTCGAATATTTCAAACGTGTCCTCGTCTTCAATAGATGCATCTTTTGCTATCTCAAACCAGGGACAACCAATTTTTTTACTTAAAGCTTTTACTGAATAACTTTTACATGCATTCCAAACCAAAAATCGACAAAAAAGAAGCAAAACTTAAGTTTTCTGCGAAGGCCATCATCACTGAACCATCAAGCGAGAAAAACAATCGCGTCAGTTTTGAAGGAAACGGAAAGAGGAACGATTAACCTTTAGTTTGGTGTTAAATTCCCTCTAATACCCACACAATAACAAACAAGAGGTATGAAAAAACTTCTCCGAATGCCCAACAAAAACAAACAACAGTAAATTATTAACAGATGCGCTGTTACTAAACTTGGCGCAAATTTCGTGGGTTGGATGCGTGATTGTAGAAGTAACATATGAAAGGGAAACATTTGAGACCACAAGTGTTGACAAGCAAGCAAAACGTTGATAAAAGGCGAGATTCATTTTCCATTTACGCAGATGGAAGGAATTTCAATTTGTTCTCAAAGCTTACTGGCGTCATCTTTGGGCTCGTCATCTTGTCATGTGGTGTATGAGAGAAGACAAGTACGCATGTTGAAATAGGCGGGCGGTCACCCACTTGTGAATAGGCACAAAAATCGCTGAGAAAAAAATCCGTTAAATCTCTAAAATCTAATCCTCTTTAAGAATTCAGTAACCTATATCCACCGTAAAAACTGTTAAACACACAGCCTAGAAGAATTAAATGGGACTGAAAAATGCCTTTCGCGAGCTTAGAAACGAGGAAACTGAAAATCTAAGGATTGAAGAATATTTTCTACAAAAGTGGAAACTCGTGTCCTCCCTAAAACAACTGACTATAGAGCAGAGCGGCAAATTCAAAAGTGACAGTTAATTGCATGTATTTTCAGGAGAATATTTGCATCAACGTACAGTTGTGGCTAAGGAAAACCTGAAACAAAAAATTCTTTCGCGATTTACTTATCCAGGTGTAATGATCTCTTTGCTACAAAGACAACAAAAGTTTCAAGTCAACAAAAAGATAAGTCCTTTTGTTTAGTTTACCAATCATTTTTTGTAATCGATCAGTCATTAAAATACAATATCTAATAAGCAACGTCGTGTCCCATTTAGTTTCGTAAAAAATAAATACGGGAATCTAAAACAGACATAAAATAATTTAAAGAAGTAAACTGCAAAAATCCGTGGACGAAGATCTTGCCGGTGGTCAGCTGGTTGGATCTCAAGAAAAGAGATCTAATCAGCTAAAAATATATATTGATAAAAAAACGAGAAGTCAAAAGACAACTGCAAAGTTGTAACCCCGAAGAAGGCTGGTCTGGCCAGTCGAAATATCGTTTGAAAATGTTTTCAATAGACGTTGTTATCCGTTTGGCAGTGGTCTTGGATTTTCTTGTTTATTAAACAACCTGCCTTTTTGTAAGACGGCATCTTGTAATTCTAAAAGATACAAGGAAACAAAACTTTTTGTTTTTTAATGATACTTTTCGTCAGAAGGAAATAAAAGCTGCCAAAAAAGAACAATGTTAAACTTTTTTTATTTTGAGGCGAGCACGCTTCCCACCTATAATTACTTCGCTTGTTTTGTCTAAGTACTAAAATTAACTTACAATCATTCCCTTTCAAATATATCGCAGACAACAGAAGTGTGACTTTTTTTATAAGCCTTTAATAGCAAAGAAGGAGAAATTCTTTTTGTTTGCGCTGTTCTGTTTTTCATTTTATCCCGAACAAAAAAACACGTAAACCGCCAAGTCGGCAGATGAATTTTGTGTTGAGTTGAGCGGTGAGTAGAGAGAAAAAGGTTTTTTAGCTTTTTTAATCCTTTATAAAAACAGTAATTTCCGTTTCTTATCATGGCCTGATCTCACTGAAAGGCCAAGTATTGTTCGCTTGGAGGTATAAAGTGAGAAGAATAATATTTTCTTGCTTTGAATGTTTGATCGCGGCATGAAATATCCGGTCATTGTTATGCGACAAAGTAGCAAGTGAAATGCCGCTTTGAAAAGATCGCAGACTGAAGGATAAGGAAGTTTTCGGCAACGTCGGCAAACGGCCTTTTTTACGTGGGAATAAATCTCAACGACCTGAGCTTTACTAAGGTCTCTTTGAATTTTAATCTCTTAGGAACGGGAGAGCTAGCAGGATGTCCGTTTTAACTGTGACCCCATTGTTAAACTGTACTTTCTCATGGCGAGTCTTTCTAGAGGGGAGAATACGTCTGGTAATTGGAAATTTTTTATATATCCACAGCTTACCGATACGTTAACATCTGATCGATACCTGAGCAACCCATTTGAAACACTTGGTTAACACAAAGCGTGTGACTGCGTGTGGCGCGGCACGCGTCTCGAGAAAACACGTGGCGTTGAGAACTGGGGAAGCAGCTGCATACAGAGAACAAAGAACAAAACGAAGCTCCCACACTCGCAGGGTAAAGTTTTGCAGGAAGGCTAAAGACCCTCTCATTTTGAAGAGACGGGGGAAGACGGCGAAGGAACACTGCCGGCGAGGGCGAAGAAAGAAATCAATGTCGAAAAGCGAACGGCGGAAAAGAGATGGATCGATGAGAGAATAAAAAGACCAGAATGTAGAAACCCCCACCCCTCCTACCCTTAGATATCCTGTATTTCGTTCGATAAGTATATATTCCCAAATCTCCCTCAAATTCACTCTGTTCGTCAAGAGAAGTGTAAGACATTGACAGTAACAGACCGATATGGTGTCGGCCGCATCGAGGAGTTCAAAAAAAGGAGAATTCACTGCAATGTTATTACGACTGGTTTTTAAATTTAAATGTATTTCTCAGCAAGAAGTAATGTCATAACCGTAGAACCATTTCTATTACCGCAAATTATCGACAATTACCTCGCAAATTTAAACCCGATTTGTTATTTTAACCTTTCTGACTCCTTTAAAATGACCAAGCGCGTAATTGAAAACAGTTGGTGATTCCATTTTGTAAACGAAAAAAAAGCATCACAAGAAATCGTTGTTTTCGAGATACGGCTTACAAATATAAAGTTTAGGACACCAACCGCAAATCAGAATTGAGCCGCAAACACCCAAACGTGAAAGCTGTGATCGCTTATATATATTTTGTACCGCTGCGAACTGGGTGGGTGAAAAAAATCTTAACAAAATTCGCGTCAGTGACACAAAGGCATCTTAAACCTTTAAATACCCATGCATTCCAAACAAATAGATAAATTCAAGCAATTCAGTGATTTCAACAGTAAGGAAAAAAATATATGATTATAACCTTATTTGGTTTTAAAGATAACATCTACGAATTGCTTTTGGTTTAAAGTAGTTCGGCTGCGGTCACAAAAGCCGCTATAATATGAGCGGGCAGTTTTATTAAACAAACATTTAGATTTCACAAGAAGTGTATTTGTTTAAGTAGAACTGTTTACTTGACTAACCAAATGACTAATATTTAGATAGTCTTCCTGAAGAATTATGGCTTTAGACAGGAAATCAACCGCTTTGTTTAATCAAGGATAAAGTTTGACATCTTAAGAAATCGCAACATAAGCTGGATGAGCGCCTATAACAACCAAAGTTTCAGCCAATCAGCTGAAGGCTACTATTTACCAATGAAATTGTCGCTTTTAAAGATTTTCACAAAAGAAAGGTGAATACCCAACATCTTTAACATGCATCCTTCCTGCAAGCTGCGAATATGGGATCCCAAGTTGTTCTCTTTTAGGCAGACTGCTGCTCCAGAATAACTATAAAAGATAGCAGCCAAACAGCCGTAGTCAAAACAAACACCCTTCCAACTTAAAATTTTGGGTTTAGAGAAGACTTTTTTCTGGGCAGCTGCCCAGAAGGAAAAGTAATTCTTACCAAAAATCCATTGTTATGCCAAAAAAAATGCCACAAAAGTTTTTTCTCATAGAAAGCTTTAGGTTGTGGTAGGCGATAAAGAGTTCGGTGTCTTTAACAGCGTAAATTTGCTAGAGGAAAAATGTATGTTGTTTTCGCTAAAAGGCTTGAGATTATCTGAGCCAGCAGATCACGTGAAAAATGTTGCTATGCAACGTGTCGTCTCGACACCTATGAGTTTAAGGTGATTCCATAGTAAAAGAACCTAACATAGATTTTAGCTTAAACTTGGTACACTGATGTAACAACTCAAGAAGATGATAAAAAAGTAATAAAAAGTGGGGGTCACCGTGCTCGTTTTGACGTCACAATGCTGACAAATACGGCTATTTAGGACCCTTCTACAAAAACCGCGGGCAGCGCAAAACTAGACAAAAATGAGGGATTTTTTCGATGATGCATGTGACATCACACAGAATTTGACTTTAATGTATTGTTTATCCTCTTACGTACCAGAAAAATGCCTTTTAATGCCCTTGTTTTTACTTTGCGCTCCAAAGTAGAATTAAATTGGACGCGCGCTTTTCGACCCGTGATAGCTCAATCCGTACAATTTAGTAAAATTACCAAAAAACTGAACATAGATTTGTGCCAATTTTTTTCTCATCGAAAGGATGCACTGTCCTTATTATAATCATGAAATAAAAAATGGGGGTCACCGTACTCGTTTTTGCGGTAGAGCTGCAGAAAGTGCGCACCAAACGCATTTTCTCCGATTTTTGAGAGAGGACTGNTTCTTCTTTTGTTTATGGGGTTTCGTGGGTCGAATATTTCAAACGTGTCCTCGTCTTCAATAGATGCATCTTTTGCTCTCTTCAGTTCAGGCTCACACTTCAGAGAATGAAACATCCTGGAATAAAATATTTCACACTAGTTTAAGCCTATCTTTTCATACATATTTCCTCGTTCAACGGCGCATGACCCAAAAGACTCCTAAAGCAAGCGCGTTTAACTATTACATATTCCAGCGCCTTATGGGCGTTGTCACAATTGCTTATTTACATCTTGTGTCCACCCTTGAAATTGAGCAACATTTTAGTTGTAGAATTTCCTTCCGCTCTTGCAACATTGCGTAACGGCATGTGTCTACAATCTGCAACACTCCATGTGATGGCGCGCGCCTAAACTTTTAATTCTCCAGCCACTCAACTTTTACAGTTAAATTTAACACTGGACATGTTGAGCGACTCACGCTAACTGGAAGTGAGTACCTTTTTTCATTTTCAGTTGAAGGCCTCGACGCTACCCATTTCAGGGGCGGATCCAGGAAGTTTTCTCCGGAGTAGATCCAAACATTGGTTCAGAAAGGACTGTTAAACTCTTTGTGGCAAATCACTTCTCAAAGAGACGACCACGTGTTTCTCAATCTGTAAACGCCGGTCGCCATTGGCGCAGGAAATACTGCTTTGTAAGAAGACGCGAACAGATCATAGGAGGGTACCCAAAAACAATTACATTCTTGAACATCCCTGGAATTTAGTCTAGCTGCAAAATGCAACGCGCGTTTCTTTAAAAAAATTAGCCAGTTAAAAAGTTATATACGATTCTGGCGATATAAGAATTTCAGTCTCAAACAAGGGTCAGGTCTGATGGGGGGGGGGGGAATTCGGACACCCCGCACCCTCCCCCTGGATCCGCCACTGCAGCCTGAATGTCTAAGTTTCGTTACCCATGGGGAAGATTTGCCCGAAATTTTGGTAAAACCACTGCCCAAGAATCCAAACAAATTCCACTTACGGTTGATATGCGTCGTTTAAAAACGTTTGGGTTTTCCCCGGGATCAGCCTGGTCCCTAGGCGCCCTCTCTTGCCCCATTGTCCGCGCGAAGTCTGGGAAAGTCTCCTTGGTGACGTCACAGCTCACGGAAAAGTCCAGGATTGACCGTGCCGAGAACGCCCGGGGACTAAGCTGCCTCGGGATAACAAGGGGAGCGGGGTCATGTCAACGATCGCAAAATATAGAGAAGTTACTTACCATCCAGTATCATCTCTCTCTTCGTTTTCATTTTCGTTGTCGTTATCTTCTTCTTGATCTTCTTCTTCTTCGTTGGACTGAAAAAGCTTGGCTTGAAAGTCTGCCAGCAGTGTTAGATTCTACATGAAAAATCAGGTGGCAACAAAAGTGTCAAGTCATGCATGAGTCGGGGGAATATGATCGTCCAGGTGAGTTTCTTGACACACTGGCTTTCAGCACACAACTATCAACAAGCATCAATTAGTACAAATGCTTTTACAGTCAATGTCTGGCCAATGTCTAAAGTAATGACCTTGTTTCTGGTTAACAACAGATCCACTTGACATTTGCGCAAAGAGCGGGATATAACAGGTACAACATCACTCAGTCAGCGCGGATCCACACCGGTTTCCACCGTTTTACGGATATCGGTCAGATCAGTGTCATAATTAGTATATTTTTCATATATATTTTTAATAATAATAATAATAATAATAATAATAATAATAATAATAATTTAATAATAATAATAATAATAATAAAAGTTGAAATCTAGAAAGTGGTTTAGACAGTCAGTAAATATTCGGTCTGAATGGCTCAGAAAACCCGGAAAGGGGACTTTGGGAACTTTAAATCCAAAAATTTTCCCTGAGGAACATGCCCCCGAAACCCCCGCCCTAGAAGCTTGCACTTTCGGCACTCGTTGATGAAATCGGTAGGAATTTATTCTAGATCCGCGCCTGTCCATAAGTGATAAAAACTTTGACATAAATAAAACATTTGATTACCTGTTCGTCCCTTCCTTGACCCTTCCTTTTTTGGGAAGTTTTCTTCTTCTCGAGGTAAGTTATTTGTTCTGCGTGAAAGGCTGCTAACACATCGGACTCTTTAGACTCTGGTCAACACAAAAAGCAAAAGAAAAAAAATACTTGAACTTGTGTAAACTTTCTATGCGTTGCTCTGATAAATTTAGGCCTATTCCAAGTTTCACAGCTTCTCACCATCAAAACGAGTCTTCGGGTAAATTCTTGAAAATGAGCGCAAGAGAATATAAATATATATATTTTTTGTTCATAACAACGACTTCGCAATTACCCTCTTTCCAAGAAAAGGGGTTGGGGTAAGCCGGGAATGGTCCATTGAAAGAACTTTCCTTTTTGCAGAATCCCTAAGAAACGTTTCTGAAAAAGTGGGATAGATCCTTTTTTATATTGAAGGCAAATCAAGTTTTCAATAATATTCGAGGTCCAACAAGTCACAAATTCACATCGTTTAAAGCAAAACAAAAACAAAAACAAAAAAAAAGGAAAGAGGAAAAAGAGTGCACTGGCCGGGAATCGAACCCGGGCCTCCCGCGTGGCAGGCGAGAATTCTACCACTGAACCACCAGTGCTCTGCATAACCACTTAGTTAATAAATTGCATTTTAAACATGTGGACATTTACTCAAACTGACAAAACAAATCAGGATTTTGATTTACGTTGACAGTTGATCGTTCGAATCTCGACTAGCATAAATAAGATTCAAGTTTCTCTTCATAATGATAATATTTACAACCACTCAAGATGATTCGCCTTTTAAAACTTTTACACACACACTTTGCCATACCAAATGCTCATAGACATATAAAGGGAATTTGGGACGAAATGACGTCTGGAGTGTAATATTTTTGTTTAAAAATATTTGTCGAACACTTCCAAAACCTAACGACGTTACTCAGAGTTTTATATCTTTGTTTTCTTTTGGTTTAGTTTTACTTTGTTTGTTTGTTTGTTAACTAAAAGAACCTTCTGACACTCAACTTGCCTCTATACTCAGGATCACTACATTGTTGTTTAAAATCATCATTGAGAACAAGAAAGGCTAAATTTCTCCAGCAACTTAATGTGGTAAGATAAAGCTGAGTAAATACGCGGCTGAGTTATAACGGGCTCAATGTTGTCCCAACGTACGTTAGTGGGTAAAACCGACCATTTCAAAGATTAAAAGAGAAACTATTCTTTTTCACGCTGCGAGATGGTAGAGTGATTCTACTTGACCCGTGAAACAGAGAATAACAACTAACGCAAAATAGCTACAAGTAAGCTAATGAAGACACTGGAATTAGTGCATAATAGTGCGTTGTATTCTAAGTTAAATCACTCTATGAGAAGACAAAATGTTAAATACGTGAGTGTATAAAATTAACGTTTTAAAAAGAACGGTAAATTTTACATTCTCATTTGGAAATTGAAACCCGTCCACGCCGATTATAAAGAGCGGGATTGGGAATTCAGTGCAAAATGACGCGCATGGGCATCTTAACGCTACTTACACCGACTGTTTTAACTTTTGTTCCGTTATAGCTTTCTTCCTTCATCGAGGCATTTTTACAGTCCTGTGCATGGTAACTGAACCGACTCAGGTATAGCCTTTTCCAGGCGTTCAGATAGTACTGAGAGCACGGGCGACAAATTGACGAGAAACGACGGCGGCTCCTTTCGTTTTCCCCGCGCGTACAATTCAATCCTCTCCCCACCATCTGAACGCCTGCAACAGGCTAACTCAGGTAAATTTATGAAAGTTGACAAGAAAAATCTCACCAGAGCGTTTTTCCTCTTCAATGTCTTTTTTTCTTTTCGTTTCCATCATCTCCCGCTTTAGTCGCTTGTATTCAGCGCGCGCTGCCTCCTGTTTGCTGAGTGGAGACAAGCATAAGAGGAAAAGATTACCATTAGCTCAAGAAAATGTTTTGGAACGCAAAGCAACAAACATGTTTCACTGACAAACAATTCAGCTTGGTGACGAAAAGACTGACAAATTAACTTCCGACTGCAAACTGACAAATGGCTGCGTGGGAGACTAGTGACCTGGCTACTGCTTGAAAAGTGGGCTTGCTGTGACACACAGGAATCCCGCCAAAGCCGACAGTTGAGGATTGCGTTCTCTTGTGACAAACGCGGTTGAAGAGTGACTACCGACTATCTAGCTTGCTGAATAGTTGACTAACGATCCCCTTGAAGTCTGTCAGCTTTTGCAAAATTTCTACAAACTAAAGAGCTGTAAATTGTTTTGTCAACCTTTTTCCAGAAGTCTCTTTTGTTGGTTGAACATCGCTTTGTTCTTTATCCTCTTCAGGTTTTCGTTTCTTCAATTTATTCCGTACTTGATCTCGCATCCGTGAGTCAAACTCTTGTTCTTTAGTACTCTACAAATATAAACACAAACATTTTGCAGAGTCTCATCTATCCTGAAGTTTCCAATTAGGAAACATGAAAAGAAGTGCTAGCTTCGATGTCGGTGGACGAAATCCTACATATTGTGTTATCCTTCGAATGAAAACTCTTCGGATCTACTTTTTGGAGGTAGTTTATATTATGCTTAGCCAACAAGGTGGGTTTTACTCCGAAATCCTGTGGTGCGACCAATATATGAAAGCTGCTGAGCAGTACTTTCTTGTGGTACTGTTTGGTATGCTATACAAGGTGGTTCTATGACGTTTGAGTCTGTGGATGAAATCCTGAGGAGTGGTCATTTAAATGAAAGCTGCTAAGCAGCACTTTCCTGTGGTTCTGTTTAATAGAGTACGCTGTACTTCTGAGTCTGTGAATGAAGAGGAATAAAAGCACAGACTATTACAACCGTTTTGGACAGGTGTGGCGCCTTAAGGTTTAAATGCAGATATGGATGTCATTGGGTTGGAAATTTCTCGCTTCGCTCTCGAGACAAAAAAAACCTCCCACAAGCACGCGCAGCCTTTTCGCGCAAGAGAATATTTTCCGCGCCACACATCTAACTTTTACCATGCCGTAAAGAATAATACCTCTTCGTCACTATCTTTATCTGACTCTTCTCGCTTTGACATTTTCTTGTCCTGAAACAGAGGATAGCAACAATGATATTCTAGAAAAGATCGGGAAGGCGGAATTCTCATCTCATCCACGACAAACAAAACCTTTGCCCTCCCCACCCCCCCGCCAGGGAGGGAAACAGTGTGCCGCGAAGGTTCTAAACCCCTAACCTACTTCAACATAGAAATAAAATTTAAAATTGACAACCACTTTTTTCCCAGAAGCGAAAAATGACACTCTATTTAAGGCAAACGAGACGCGTATACTAAACGCTTGTATTGGGCTGCAGTGCGGTCTAATAGCTCCTAAACCCAGTACAAACTGTAAAAAAAAACCCGTTTCGGCTTTCAATGAATGGAAAATTCATGGTGAAACGCAGGGACCCCTCCCCTCAGAAGTTGGTCCAACTGCAAGGGGAATACGACACGCAATGTCTTCTAGGAGATTCGTCCGCCATTTTGTCTTTTTTCGACAGGCAGCCCAAAAATTAATGACTCTTGGACTTTTTGTTATTTTCTTCACATGGGCAATCATAAAGGGCAGATCTAGTATCTAAAGCAAACTGGCTTGAAACATTGTTGACAGGCTCTTAGTAGTGTAACAAAGTAATTAAGGTTCATTACAGCGTTTTGGGTCTTTTCAACTTAGCTACCTCCTTTTAAAGGAGCACAGTCCCAATCCAACGCTATACCTATATAGCTAGCCTGCGAAAAGTCCCCAGCGGCGAGGAGTGACGGCTGTTTTTGCAGGCAGCAATAGCTTTTATATGGGACTGCGCATCACCACCCGCCCTCCCCAGGGAGTTCTGTACCAAATCGAACTACAACCTCAAGTTAATGCCCACAACACTCAACTTGGTCATTTTCAATCAGGTTTGCATAAAAATGGCCATCCCCTTCTATAATAAACAAAGTGCCAAGGTAAAATACAGTACAATCGTTTGGAAAAATATCAAATGTCAGGTCTAATTTTAATGAGTGCCCAAGATATGTTTTGACAACAATGGTTTCCTCTACTTTATACCACATCCCTCCTATTTGGTTTTCTTCTTAACATCACAAGAGAAAGGTCATGGAATTGATCCAAGACTACAAAATCCTCCTTTATTTAGAAAATACAAAAAGTTCATATCAATGAAAACTACATTCTATAAAAACAGCAACTACAATTTATCTATTAACAAAAAGATAACGTTTTATAATATTGGATGTTCCACAAATAGCTATTAAGCTAAATATCTAATCAGGGCAACAAAAGACAAATTAACCATGTGATAACTATAAAATATGATGGATTCCATTAGTTTTTTATTAAAACTGTCACAGTTACAAAAAAACAACTGATATAAAGAACTAACACTTCTACTGAACACCTTACTTGGCTAACAATATTACAAAATAGCTTTGGAGCCATTTATAAATACCATGCACTGCTTAATTCATCACAAAAACCTAAAATGCTAACTTCCATCATTTTTCTCAAACATCACTTAAAAACAGCGAATTCTTACACTTTTAAAGGCTTTTAAATCCTATAATTAAATAATCTACAGTAAGAGATAAACTTGTAATGGGTCACAAATTCAAATCAAGTACACTGTAATGTTATTTATTGAATACAACAGTCTGAAGCAGAGTGTTGACCAGAAGGTAAAATATTGTGATCTGAAGCCATCTTCACCACCTCAGCTAACTCATCTTTATGCTCTCTGTTACATTTCTTGGTAGCTTCTTCTATGAATTTAATCACATTATCCCCTGGTAGTGCATTACTTAAATTGAACTGTGAGTGAGTTTCCAGAGCATCATAGAGTTTTAATGTAAGTAAATTCATTGGCATCTGGCGAGGATCATGTTCAGTGTCTAACTTGCTCCAAAGTGAGGGGAGAGGATCAGGTTCAATGTCCAACTCGCCCCCCAGTGAGAGGCGGCTAAAGTGTGTAATGTTTTCTTCTGAAATATTGGAAATATCATTTGTTTCCATGGATTTCCGGATTTTTTCAATTTTATCCCTCTCTTCAAATGTCAGAATCTCTTTGAAGTGTTTCTGTGTTGCAACACCAACAACTTTCAGCTGATTCGCAATCCAGTGGAGGATTGGGCCTCCAGAATTACCTGAGTTTAGTGACAAATTTAGCACTGCCAATGAAGGACGGTTATCTGCATATGGTTTTGTAAAACCAGAAACATGACCAGTAATAAAGAGAGCTGTTTCTCCAGTGTGGCTCATGGGATATCCAAAAGAAAATACTTGCATGCCAGGTACTAACGGCTGATTTGACAAGTGCAATGGCACGACTCGATTTTGCTTGATGTCAAGCTCTTGGCAATAGAGCAACGTTAAATCTTTTCCAGCATCGGTATAAACAACCTCACAGGGGAGCTCACTAATCGAAGCATTAGAAATAACAATCTCTTTACCATCTGCATCATCAATTACATGCTTATTAGTAATAACATAGTGATCATTTATGATAAATCCAGAGCCATGGCTGATTTCACCTTTTTCTGTAGCTTTCACATACTCTTCTCTAATTTTTTCCCTCTCTTCCTTCACTTTTTCATTCCTTTCTTTTGCCTCTGGGTATTTGTTATTTTCTGGTAGGTACTTATCAAGGAACTTTCTTTTATCAAAGTACTCAATTGAATTTTTAATATCAGAGATGTCATAGGTTTGTTCAGTTTTTCGCACCCTTTCATCCTTAATCTTATCAGGAAATATGTCGGTGTCCAACCAATAGTAGCCTGGATTTAGGCAATCCCTCACACGACGCCATGCCTCATCCTGAGGGTATCTACGAAGCTCTTTTAAGGCAGCCTCATACTCTTTGGTAACACTTTTGCACATACCGTCGTTACGTTGAAGACATCGATATGGTTTAAGTCGTTCTACTTCCTTGTAAATATGAAAAATATCATAAGTCTCCCCATTACCACTATTTTTGAATAATGCTACCTTTTCATCCAGATAGGTGTGATTAAGTGGAAAGCAATCTTTGACTCTCTTCACTGCCTCATTTTTTGAATACTGTTTTATTCTCGTTTGTGCTTCCTTTTTCTCTTCTTCCAGGTCAAAGTTGTTTTTTTGAATTGACATTTTCAGCTCATCAGATCCTGGTCCTGAAGGTAAAGGAATGTCTTTACGGCTCAACGGACTAATGTCACTTTCCTTAAGGAAAACAACTGCCTTAAAAATGTCAAAAATGTTATAAGTAACATTTTTCTTGTATGTTGAATTGAAAACAAAGGGTGGGCTATCACCTGCAAAGTTCCCAGCAAAACAATCTCGCACACGTCGCTGAGCAACAAGCCAGGAATACTCACGTCGTGAATTCGGGTCTGCCATAGCTTCCGCGTACTCTTTTTCGACGTCTGCTCTTCGTTTGTCAATCAACTTTTCCAATTCATCACGTCCAGTTCCTGGTCTGGGATACTTTTCAACAAAGGGCTTTTCATCAAAGTTCTCAAGAGCATTGTGGATATCTAAAATATTATAAGTTTTCTCTCTATTTACATTGCCCTTGTCATCATATTCACGGGGAAGTAGAAGATCACTGACAAAATTTGCAGGACTCCCTCCTGCATAACATCTCTCCAAACGCTTCACAGCATCATTCCATGTATATTTTTTTCGCGCGTAGTCTTCGGGCTCTCCAATAATCTTTACTTTCACACACGCATCCCCAACCATTCTTCCCTCCTCACCCAAAACATCAGTAACAGCATTCATGTCCCTTTGTACTGAACAGAGGCTGATTTCCAAGTGCTTTGTGCTCAAACACGTCCGCTCAATCGACTTACGAAAGGGTAGTTCCCGTCCTGCGGTACGAGATGCGCAGGAGCTTGCGCAGAACGTTTTCCCGCTCTGAACATCCGGGATTCTTCTTAAAAAAGAAGCTTGGTCTTTGCTCATTGCAGTTCTGCAAGGTCTGCAAGAGGAAATAGTTGTAGTTGTTTGCCATTTACATCATCCTGGCATGGGCAAACCGGTCGGTTCATCGTGTGGGTAAATGGTTCGCAAAGTTTAGGACTGGTAAATTTCGTCCCGGATTCGCGTTTCGTGACCATTTGTACGAATCAGTCCCATTTACCGGAAAACGGCGGCGAAGGCCTGAAACTGGTATCAAAGATTATCAAAGCTTTGAAGAAATGGAACACGAATTTCAGTTTGGAATATTCCATCCGCAAAACTGACTACCTTTTCAGATGTTCTGTTGCTCCCGGAAATTTTCCGTTGGGAAGAGCTAAAAATTCGTGTTCCATTTACTCCTTATAATGTCACTGATGAAGTTACTGAAGGTGAACTGGCCAATGTCTGCAGACGATACAACCTTGTCTGTGGTGGAGAAAATGTGCAAGTAGTTATTGATAAGTTCAACAAAGCCCTAGCAAGTATCAACCTGTGGTGCAGAAACAACAAGCTGACCATACACACGGGGAAGTAAGAAGCCATGATTTTGACTCTGTGGACCACTAGAGCCGCCTGTTATGTTAGGAAACAAGGTCTTAGATTTTGTGATTGAAACTAAGTGTTTAGGAATTATTATTGACAATCAGTTGTCTTGGCTTAGCCGTATTGAATTAATTTGTAGGTCCTTTGGCCAGAAAGTAAATCAGCTTAAAAGGCTCAAGTATTTAAGACATTAAACAAAGGAGACCTTACAGCCTATTTATTTTACAAGTATTATTCCCACTGTCACCTATTGTAATTTAGTTTGGGGTACCTGCTCATCTACATTATTGCGTGAAGTGGGACATATCCACGCCAGGGCAGCCAAGAATATCTATAGGCTATCTGATATTAGCAACCAAGAAGCTATAACAATAGCTGGATGGGAATCGATTAATTCCATGTACAAGAGAAAGTTATTGATAGCATTATAGTTTGAGGTTCCCCGCTTTAACCTAGAGGTGGGCAGGAATTCTTTAAGATATAGAGGAGCTTTGTTCTGGAACTCCATTCCAGATAATTTAAAAAGAGCACCAAGTCTAAATATTTCTAAAAAGCTTCTTAAGAAAAACAGACCCTTGTTCGACAATATAAATTTCAACAAGATGAAATAGTATTTTAATTGTTCTAAACTTTTAGTCTTTTATCTCACCTTACTACTGTGTACTTATTCTTTTTATATACCTATTTTCTGTACATTTTTTAAAAAAATTTTATTTGTATACTATCAATAGATAGTTTATCAGCAGGTCCACATCAGCTTTAGCTGCCTTATAACTTAACCTGCTTTACCAAATTAATTATGTATGTATGTACAGTCCAGAATATCCCTAAATTTAAGGACAGGGCCAACTGGTCACGCGACACTTTTCAACCAATGAGTGAGAAGGCGCTCTTGTGTTAATCAACAAACAAATCAAAACATCACCCCAGTGATCAAAAACTTTCAAAACAGCGGACAGAATCAGTCATTGTTTCGAGGGTCTCAGGCATATTTTTAAGACTTTTCATGAGGCATACACAATTTTTTTAAGTGGACAGCGTATCGGAAGCCATATTGGAGGTGTCTCGTGAAATATTCAGCAAATTTTGTGGCTTATTTCTTCTTTTAAACAATGATCTTCATATCAATGATGTATGTATGTATGATTCACAAAAACCATTGTTAAAGGACAAAACGGATCATTCCATCAGTCTGAGGTGGAATAAAAAGTTTTGAACATTTCCAAAGAGGCAAGTATTTTTTTTATTTTGCATTTGATTAATTTGTGAGTTGATTCTGCCTTCTTTTGCAACCCGCTTGTATTCTGTTAGTAGTAAATACCGTTGATTCTTTTCATGCCCACATGTATTTCCTTAAATTTTGCAGAACCAGCTTTATCCTTCTCTTCAGTCAAAGAACCATATTGCTAGCGCATGCGAGTGAACAAACTTGTACGCAGCAAGCTTACTCGAGAAGAGGACTACTTCGATCATTTTTCTCCATTGCTTATAATAGTCAGAGTTTTTTTCATTTTTACGGTGGCTCGTTTAATTACATGGTTTTGTTTTCCGGTGCACTGTGAATGTTTTTTTGTTCTTTATAGGAAATATCTTTCTGTACGCAAATTTTCCTTTTCACTTGCTGTGTAGTAGGGAACGGCAACTGCCAGCAGAAAATTCAAAACAATTGACTCTTTGCCCGTAAACAATTGCTGGAGCTGGATTTGACTGAAGAGAGTAAAACTGTTAACGATAATTTGTTTGTTTTACAACCTTATTAAAACTTTCTTTTAGTTCACTTTAATAAGCTGAATTTTGTGCATGATGGAATTGTTCTTTGCTTGTAACATCTCTTTGCCAGCTTAAAATGGTGTCTATTCCTTAAAGTGACCTCAGTCGGTAATTAAATCATATACATAACTAGAAAGAAGTTTTTGCCGTATTGTAACTTTAACTTTGTTTGAAGGAAATCCTACTTACACGTAGGTTTTTGACAGGTCTTATGCATATTCAACTTGACAACACAAAGCAAAATTTTTATATCTGCACAAAACGATCAAGTTTAAAAAAACAGATTATGGCAGAACTTGACCAGATCTCACGCATGCAAGGCCGTTTTTAGGCCCTTATTTCTTATAAATTTTTTAAAAAACTCGCGCGTGCACCTGCCATACTCTGCAGACTGGCTGAGTTGCTCTGAAACTGATTTTGGGGAAGATTTTACTAGATGAAGATTGACTCTTTTTTCAGATGTGAAAGCATTGAAGTTTTGGGTCTCGATTTGGAACATATTTTAATGTCCTGTTCGTTATGCATGTACCCCAATTTTGATATCATAGTATTTACCCTTCTGGTTCGGTGGTAGTTATTGAAAACAAAGAGTGCTATGTGACGCTGAATGGATTCTGCGCAGTTCATATCTCCCTGAGTGTGTTATGTATGGAGACTAGCGAATAGAACCTTATTCACACTGTACGGGAGTACCTTTTGCTTAAGCTCACACTGTCCACAAGATCCTCATAATAGTGTCAATTAACTTATTCCCATCCATCACCCCCAAGGAGTGTATGGGCAGACGGAGTATGCTGACGACTCACAACCAAATTTTCTTACCCATGCTATTATTCATGTGTTAATCCCTTTAAATTACTAAGCCAATGGCCTGTCATCACGTTATAGTAAAGTGGCTAGATCTAGAAACATGTAGAAGGATCTCTGATCTCTCGATGTTTTGTGAAGATCAAGACAGGCAATGTCAGGATTCCATTTCCCAATGACCCACTTAAGGCAGCCTCTTCCTCCAGTTTCCACATTTTTCGTCTCCCCCCCCACCCCTCCCAACTCCACCGACACAAACACTTCAAAGCACACAAGTTCACTTTTTTGTTAGATCTGTCCTAGTTTGGAAGGTCTTTTCCCCAGCTTCTGTATTACCCTGCAAGCAGAGGCCCTTCAATCTTCCTACTAGTTTACAAGTCGGGATGAGGAATATGATCTAGGAAGATCAAAGGGTCTCTGTTTCCAGCGTACTTCTGTATAGGATCACACTGTTAATGCCTTTTACTCCAGTATTTGTTGTGGTAATCTCAATGCATGATACTCGCTATTTTTGTAATAAGTTAGCTTTTATTTATTTTTTTTAGCATGACAGTTGATGTTTCTCTATAATTTTTATATCAATGTTATCAACATCCACGTACATGACCGAGTGCCCATTGCTAGATAAGCTATTGCTATCGGCAATTATTATGCTATAATAATAATAATAATAATAATAATAATAATAATAATATTATTATTATCATTATTATTATTATTTCATACCCATAAAATGCATCACTAGCCCTTTTGGGCCTTTTACAGACTGAAATCACAGACTTCCCTACCCTTTCTTATACTTCAGCTAGTGAAATCCCTACCCTTCCATATACCTAAATCCTCAAAAAACACACCCCTTTTGAGTGGAGCCTTCCTGTATAGGCCATTAAAGAGAGTCCCCCCCCCCCTGAGTTTCTGCCCCCTTCCCCACCTTCTATGTAGATTTACACTAACATTTTGGGAAAAAAAACATGGTTTATTATTGAACCTGTTTACAGCCACCTCTCCTCGAAAACAGCTCATTATTATTTGCCTGAAACTCCTTTCATGTTAGCTTGGAAAAGAAACTATTATTTTATAAATGTGTAAACTGTTTATATTTTGAGTTCTCTTGCAAAAATCCTCCGTTTAGCAACCCGGTTCAAGAAAAACCTGACTTAAGAATAACTCACAACCTAACCAATGGTGAATATGCCCAACTCAAGTTAGTACCTTTCACTCTCATGTATTCTATTGAAGAAAGGATGGTATGGTACTTACTCGTATTCAGTTTGAAATATAATTAAGAATATCAAATCAAATAAATCAAATGGTGTCCACTCTCAACCTGCCTCCACTGTAAGACATAAGGCTGATTTAGCAATAGAATGGGAACATTATTATTTTGATAACAGGAAAGAGCGCAGAAAGGACTAGACTTGACTTCCGGTGCCCAATTTGCCGCTCCACCATTGGTCAAAGCCAGTCGTTTGATTTCCACGCGCTGTCGTCAACTGACATTCCCATCCTGTTGCTAAATCAGCCTAGAATGTTAACACCGGTTTTCTTTACTTTACACCCCATCTCTCCTGTTTAGTTTTTGTCTTAACATCACTAAAGGAAGGGAACGGAATTGATCCAAGACTACAAAATCCTCCTTTATTTTGAAATACAAAAAAAAGTTCATATCAATGAAAACTACATTATACAACAATAGCAACCACAATTTATCTATTAACAAAAAGATCAAGTTTTACAATATTAGATGCTCCACAAATAGCTATCAAGCTAAAATATCTAGGCAGGCAATACAAGACAAATAAACCATGTGATAACTATAAAATATGATGGATTCTATCAGTTTTTCATTAAAACTGTCACAATATTGCAAAAATACAACTGATTTAAAGAACTAACAGTACTACTGAACATCTTACTTGGCTAACAATATTTATTACAAATTAGCTTTGGTGCCATTATTTTATAAACGTACACCATGCACTATTTAATTTACGACAAAAACCTAAAATACTAAATCCATCACTTTCCTCAAACTTTATTTACTTTATTTGCTTTTAAATCCTTAAATACAATAATCTATAGAGTTAAACTTGTTGGTAAATGAGAAATATTAATTTCTACATTACGTTTCAACTACCGCTACATTTCATATTTTTCATATTGTTTGTAAACATTGTCATCATCACACCACTTCAATCTACAATGTCCAACAATCACACAAGGTTATCAATGAAAAACACATTATTGTACTGAATACAATTCTTGTTAAATATGCATCACACCTTCCAAGAAACACTCTGTAAAGTAGTTATTGAATACAACAGTCTGAAGAGGAGTGTTGACCAGAAGGTAAAATGTTTTGTCGACCTGCAGACCACTTCACCACCTCAACTAACTCATCCTTATGCTCACCCTCCCATTTCCTGATAGTTTCTTTTATGAATTCAATAACACAATGCCCTGGTAGTGCATTACTTAAATTGAACTGTGAGTGGGTTTCCAGAGCATCATAGAGTTTTAATGTCAGTAAAAACATTGGAATCTGGCAAGGATCAGGAAATTGATATCTACAGCCATACCTATTTACCACTCTTACCAACTGCTCACGGTCTAATGAGGCATTATTAATTGAATCATCTGGAATATCCAGCATAGTAATAGTTTGCAAGGATTGCCGGATTTTTTCAATTTTATCCCTCTCTTCGACAGTCAGAATCTCCTTGAAATGTTTCTGTGTTGCAACACCCACAACCTTCAACTGATTTCCAATCCAACGGAGGATTGGCCCTCCAGAATTACCAGAGTTGAGTGACAAATTAAGAACTGCCAATGAAGGACGGCAATCTAAGTAAGTTTCCTTATAACCAGAAACACGACCATTAACAAAGAGAGCTGTTTCCCCTGTATGGCTCATAGGGTACCCTAAAGAAAAAATCTCCATACCAGGAAGCAATGGCTCACTGGACAAATGCAATGGAGTAATTCCACATTGCTTGCTGTTCAGCTCTTGGCAATAAAGCAGTGCTAAATCACTCGCTGTATCAGCATGAGCAATCTTACAGAGAAGCTCACCAATGGAAGGGTTAGAAATGCACACTTCTTTAGGCTTATTATCAATATTCTTTTCTATATTTGCATCTTCAATGACATGCTTATTGGTAATAACAAAGTGGTCATGAACAATAAATCCAGAACCATGCTCAATTTCAATTTTTGTGGTGGCTTTAGCATACTCTTCTTTAATTTCTGCTCTTTTTTCATCAACCAAACCATTCAACACAGAATTACTAGATTCTTTGCCATCTACTACACGGTACCGGTAATCATCACTAAGCTTTTTTAGATCAAAATAATCAACTGCTTTCTTGATATCAAAAATGTCATAGGTCTGCTGGCTCTTTGAAGCCTGGCTGTTCTCTTTTTTGCTGGTAAAAAATATGTCCACATCACGAACCAAAGTTCCCGCAAAGCAATCTCTTACTTTACGTTCTGCCTCACTTCGAGAATATTTACCGAGTCTGTTTTTTTTTACCTCAAACTCCCTTGTAATTGCATCTCTGTTTTTCTTTATTTCTGTCACTTTTGTATCCTCTGGATGCTTGATCAATTCTTTAGTAGTCAGGTGACCAGTTAACTTTTCTTGTCCTTCCCTTGCATCAAGATGAACTAACATTTTGTGAATATCGCAGATATTGTAAGTTTGGTTGATGTTTGATTCCCTTCTTAATAATTCACCAACTTCTTCTGGCCAATTGTCCAGAAAGCAATCTCTAAGCATTTTCTCTGCATCACTCTTTGAATATTTGCGCGAGCCACACATGGCCTCCTCAAACTCCTTTTTCACTTCTAAATTGTTTTTTTCAATTGACTTTTTTAGTTCATCAGTGCCTGGTCCTGCATCTTCTGGGTATTTTTGAACAAGTTTCATTTTATCATAATGTTCAACTGCTTTTTGAATATCAAAAATGTTGTAAGTCTGCTTGAAGTGGGACATGCACTCCTCCAATTTCATGGGAAAAATCTCTTCATTTCTTGGGTAGTAAGTATAGCAATTTCTTACTCGCTGATCTGCTTCTGCTTTAGAATACTCAGAAGGTTTAATATCACGATAGAGTTCAGCTTCAACCAGCTCTTTTTTAATATTTTCTCTTTCTTCTTCCACTCTTACTGGACTTGGAAAAAAAATGTAAGGGAGACGATACACATCACAATAGAATTTGTCAAAACGTGTTGCTCTATCATAATACAATACTGCATCATGAATGTCAACAATGTCATAAAGTTTATTTGGGTCCGTAGATTCATAGTTAAGAAATGTCAAATCCCCTGCAAAGCTACCAGCAAAACAATCACGAACGCGGCGCTGTGCGACAAGCCAGGAATACTTGTACCTTTCAGCTTCTGGGTTAGCACGAGCTTCCTCAAACTCTCTTTCAACATCGGCTCTTCTTCCATCAATCGACTTCCTTCTTTCTTCAGACCCTGGTCCTGGTTTGGGATATTTCTCAACATAACGCATTTTATCCAAAATCTCCAAGCCATTATGGATGTCAATTATGTCACAAATTTTCTCCTCACTTGGTCCTCCGCGATCGCTCGTTTCTGTAGGAAGTATCAGACGCTGCAGGAACCCATAACCTCCATAATTCAGACTCGGATATCCCTCATAGCATTCTTCTATTCGCTTCCAAGCTTTATCCCAGTGATATTTTGCAATGTTTTCTGGCCATCCGAAAATCTTGACCTTCACACAAGCATCCAAAGCCTTTCTTCCTTCGTCTCCTAACACATCACTGATTGAATACTGCATGCCTCATAGGGTTTAGTTACGATCCACATTCTACGATCGCGTATTTTATGAGTCTTCACAGGTCCAATCTTTCCAGTTGTTGACAACACGTTCATGTATGTACCTTCTTGCACAGGGCGGATAAAGCTTGGGCGGTGAAACGAGCGCTCCGCTCTTCATTTAATGTGTGATGCGGAGTAGGACTGGCACGAGCGCTCTTTCCGCGCTTCCGGTGCGCTTGAAGGCCGGCGAAATTTTCCTTTTTGCAAACCGGAAATCCTATTTTCTTTCTGTAATTTCAGGCTACAGTGTTAAATAGATAAATTCGTTTCAGAACAATATCAGTAAACAGTTTCATATGTTTGTGTCTGTACATCTATAAGTCAAACTTGTTGGTCGTATAATGCCAAAATTTGAGTCTAATTTGAAAGTGTTGAATACCTCCTCGTTCCACTAAATATCACCTAATCGTCTTTCGCCGTTTCGTTTGCAAAAGCTTAACACTTCTTAACCTCAATTTTTACATATGTTAAAGGGGGATAAATTTTATATAACATAACAAAAAATTAGATTGATATATATTGATATAGTGGCGTTGTACTTCTTCAAACTTTGCTTCTCGGGTGCAACGCGCCATGGCGATTCGCGCAATGCGTTGCAAATCTGGCAACCACATGTAAACAAACTTTATTGAGGTTAGTTGTAAGGTTTTTTCTCCGTTTTTCTCTCTAAAACAAAACAAGGTAAACAGTAAAAACTGAGGGGAAACTAATTTTGAAGTTTCGAAGAAACAGAAAGACGTATGAGATGTTTTTTTTTTCAAAATTAAAAAGAAGGATGATGGTGATTGAAATTAGCATACTTTCGCCTTGCACGAGCTGCACGCATTTATAAAATACACGTCATAGAGGGGATGAAACACGATCTGCTGTCTTTTAGTTTTGCCATGGATGACATGGATGAGATTTTCCTTCGTGGTTTAGACAGCATTTAGTTGTTTTTGTTTTGGAATAACATCGACGTTGGCGAGTAACAGAACGAAAATATATTTCAGTTGTAGAGTCATGGAAGTAATAACTGAAACCCTTTGAAAGGAGATGTTTGTCTACTCCAACTATAAAACCTCTCGCAAAAAATAGCAACATTTGCCTCTCGGAGACAGCGTACCAGCACAAAGGAACGAGGAAGAAGTGCAAGAAAACAAATCAAGCCACCATAATTCAGTGACAGCGGCAGTGTCTAATGTACAAACCACATCCCAAGCCCTGACCGAAGTCGAAAACAAGCGAATAAACAAGCGACATTTCTAAGTAGAGTCCCAGTCCACTGCATCACACCTTTTTGCTCGGACACGCTCGTTTCACCGCCCAACCTTTATCCGCCCTGTTCTTGCAGCAGTTACTCAGTGCTCCATGATCTCTTGAATGAAGAAGGAAGTTGCTTTCGTTTACTTTGTCATGTAAGGGGTCATCTAGTGTAAACAATCCACTGCTGGGGGGCGGGTGGCATGGTAGAGCTTGTGCCGCACCTTGCTTGAGACTAACTTTCACAATCCTGATTCATTTCGTTTCACACAAAAAAATTGGTGTTTTTTAACCAAACATCATGGAGTTAGATTTTTTGAAAATACATTGTAAGTACCACTTGGGAAGACCCCGCATCTCTAACCCTCACAATCCGTTTTTAAGCCTCCCGTTCCAAAAATACATTCTCATACTGACATGCAGTTAATCCCACTAGAGAAAATTCATTCTTCAAGATACTCAGTTCGTAAGCCCAGGGAGTCGCATTTGATAGATAAGGCTATGACCCTTGAACCTCATGGCCTAAACCGCCGTGACGAATTATTGTAATCCATCTCTTCAGTTAGTATTTTCCTTTCCAGTTTTTGTGTTGTACGTCATTTCGCCTCTCCCTTTTAAACAATTTTTATTGCGACATTCTCCGTTTATGTAATATTGTGATTGCTACATAAGTTCTGTAACATCTGTAAACCTGAGGAAGGCTGGTATGGCCAGCCAAAATATTGTTATAAAAAACAATACACGTTGTCTTAAATCAGCTTTCCAGTAGTCTTTGGACTTCTCGTTCTTGGTTCCTTATATTTTGGCTGATTAGATCTCTTTTCTAGAGATCCAACGTTTACAACTAGCAGGATCTTCGTCCACGGTTTTTGCAGTTAATTTAATCCAAAAATACACCCTGTTCAAGAGGTGAAATGGTGAGGCCCAAAAAACCATACCCTGTTAAGCGGCGCCGTACTAAGGGAACCACAAATATTAGTTTTGTGAGCGACGGAGCCATGAGAAGCAAAAATCTCGAGGAACGTAGCCTGCGAAAACAGACGTTTCTCCTCGATCCTCGCCGCTTGCGACGTTACCTCCTCGCGAAACGTGCCCCAGCGGCGATGAACAAGGAGAAACGTCTGTTTTCGCAGACTACGAGGAACGCGAAGCAACCATAAATTTGAAACAAAACAGAGGGGAGGGATCACTTTATTTATTAGGCCGCAGATGTAGTCTAGTTTTAGTTTCGTCTTTTATTTGGCGTAATCTAACTTTTCCTTTGGTTCTCACTATAGCTTACAAAGGACAACGTTTTTCCAGTCGAGTGTATAACGTCACGACCTTTGACAGCCAAAAGACGTAGAGTAGGAAGAGCGACACAAATCCAATAAACTCATCTTCCACCTTTTTCTGTACATTGCGTCTCCATAGTACGGCGGTGGGGGCGGGGGGCGGGGGGGTCATGTGATTTTGCATCTTACAAGAGGTCAAAGACGGTTGCTTGCCAGGATTCACATAGACTGCGAGCACTGTAAATTATCTTCGGTTGCGAAGCATTACGCGAAAAATTGCTTTCCGTTCGCTGTTATTTTTGCTGTTGACTATTAATTTGTGAGATGCTTTGAATGACTACGTAACCAGGAATTTTTGAAAGCAATTGTATGTTCAATACGTGCAGAGTGGAATTAGTATTTTTGCCCCCGCAGGGATTTCGCCCAGAGGCGAAACAGGCGAAATCCCGAGGAGGCACCCTAGAAACTCGCGCGTATATTAAGGATAGTACTTACAGTTCAAATATACAGTCCGTATACTAGAAAAAATCTCGATTTGCTCGAACTGGGGCCGCGAGGAATCGGTAGTACACGAATGGAGGATCTTTTTGCAATAGAAACGAAATATTTCTTCAGCCTAATTTAATAATAACACAACTTATGTCATCTCTGCCAATCAGCATTTCCCATCGGCTTTTTCGATGCAGATATTCAAATTCCAGAGTTGTAGTTGCAAGCTCTCCTTCTTTTTCCCGCCCCCCTGCCAGAGTGNAGGGAAGGGTCTTCGACATCACAGAGCGTCAGAGGGTGGAAACTGACACAAGTCGAGTGAGCTACGCGCCGCGTTGTTGGGGGTGTTTGCGTTGCCAGGGGGGGGCGGCGCGGGGGGGGGGCGGGGGGGTCATGTGATTTTGCATCTTACAAGAGGTCAAAGACTGTTGCTTGCCAGGATTCACATAGACTGCGAGCACTGTAAATTATCTTCGGTTGCGAAGCATTACGCGAAAAATTGCTTTCCGTTCGCTGTTATTTTTGCTGTTGACTATTAATTTGTGAGATGCTTTGAATGACTACGTAACCAGGAATTTTTGAAAGCAATTGTATGTTCAATACGTGCAGAGTGGAATTAGTATTTTTGCCCCCGCAGGGATTTCGCCCAGAGGCGAAACAGGCGAAATCCCGAGGAGGCACCCTAGAAACTCGCGCGTATATTAAGGATAGTACTTACAGTTCAAATATACAGTCCGTATACTAGAAAAAATCTCGATTTGCTCGAACTGGGGCCGCGAGGAATCGGTAGTACACGAATGGAGGATCTTTTTGCAATAGAAACGAAATATTTCTTCAGCCTAATTTAATAATAACACAACTTATGTCATCTCTGCCAATCAGCATTTCCCATCGGCTTTTTCGATGCAGATATTCAAATTCCAGAGTTGTAGTTGCAAGCTCTCCTTCTTTTTCCCGCCCCCCTGCCAGAGTGCCCCGGAGAGCTTGCTTGCAGGCTATCATGGACGATTCTACATCATATTACCAATATGCAGACAGCTGTAGCCTATCATACCTTTAACACAGCAGCTGTAGTGTCAACAACTGGCTGTGAACTCAGCTTTGGATCTTGCAATACATCGTGACTGCTCTTCATTTTCATTGTCTATGAACCAGTAAGCAAAACTATGCAGTTAAATTAAACAAGCATCCCTATCATTTTACCTGGACATTCCTGGGTTGTTTACAAGCGTGTCAAATTAATGTATGTGTAACATTGAAAACTACAAAACATAATAATGATCAATAGTGCTGTTATGAGAAAAGAAACAATGACATCAAAGAAACGAAAAGCAATGGCAGCTAGTTGGGAGGACATGATTTTCATGGGTAAGAGAAGAAATGACTCTTCTCATATATATATCATATTTATGGCAACAAAATTCATGAAAAAATATTTTAATACAGTATTAAGTAATCCAACCTTAGAAACTGAGGCCACTGTTGATTCATCTTCTTCAGCCTCCTCGCCAAATGACAACAGACTGAAATTCCTGTCAAAAGCAATGATTTGTTGATCAGCCATTGCACTGAACTGAACACTCTCTTGTACGATGACATAATCACAAGTGATTAAATTCTTGAAACCCTTGAAGAGCCTTACTTTGTTCCTTTAACTTTTCTTTTCTTTTCTTCCCTTGTTACTTTAATTTCCTCTTTTGTCTGCCTTGGAACAATGTCATCAAAGGGATTATGCAAGATCTAACAAGAAAAGGTAATAAAATATAACTATTTAGAGAGGTCACTAAAGAGGTTCTTTAATAATTATATTAGAGCCCTTCAAGCTCCAGTTTCCACAGACAACTTCTCCAAACTCAGATCCCAATACATTTTCTTAAAGAAATAGTTGAGAGAATTTGTTAAATGATCAAAGCATTTTTCTCTGGTGGATCATAATGTTTATAAATAATGCTCACAACCTTTCTATGTGATTATGTACTTATGTTTTAAGTTGGTTACTCTGGCTTTTTCAAAGACCCCTTTCCTTAACCCACCTCTCCCCCCGCCCCTAAGGAATTTCCAATACCTTTTGTGGTGAGGGTGGAATATGGGGATTTTCTAAAAATACACAAATGCACACAATATGGACTTAACAAGTCTAGCACTCATCTTTGTTTTTGTCACCTCCACACTTTACAGTAGCACACAAATTCCTATTATCTTGCAAAAGCAGGGTTTTCTAAATGAAAACTATATACACCTTTTTGAAAAAGTGACTAACAATAACAGTTCATGATCACACCTCAGTTTTCTTGATTTTCGGTGGAAAAAGTGGCCTGTCATCTCCATCAACTTCACAGTCCTCCATCTTAATCATGTTGTAAATTGTATTTCCTGCAACCTTAAAAGGAAAAATTTACACAGCATTCAACATACCAACATACCCCCTCATTTCCATGTTAGAGGGGCCATTTTTGCAGGGAGCTCTTCAACATTACCTTTCCAAATATTGTATGCTTTCCATTCAACTCGGGTGTGGCTCCAAGGGTGAAGAAGAACTGGCTTTGATTATCATTAGGACCAGCGTTAGCCATAGCAACCAACCCTCGACGTACAAACCGTAATCTTTGGTGAAATTCATCCTACAAAAAAAAGGGTTGGGAGACAAAGTAATAGAAAACATTTTCCATGTTTGCATAGCCTGATATAAACACAAGGGGGGTTGGGAGAATTTGAGACAGTTATGCAAACCCGAGACAAAGTCTTGACGTCACAACCATACTGTCATGCAAACATGCCTCTCGGCCAATCAGAGCACGCGTACTATCTTAGTTATTTTATAAATAAAAAGAGCAATACAGCATAATCACAGTCAAGGTATAAGTCCCACTCAAGCCAAACTGAATTTTCCTTAAATAGGTAGCTCAAAGTTTTACTACTCTTCAAATGACCAACTGGATTTCCCCTACATGTTGAGATGTTTTGATCTGTTACCTGCATATTTAATTGGAATTTAAATTTGTTGTCACACAATATTACTCAAGCCCACTTCACTAGCCACCTTTGAGATAATACAAGACTGCAGAGCATATATAAAAATAATATAACATCAGCAATATTAATAATATTTTGTCACTCAATGTAAATAAATTATTTTGCCAAAGACAATAATTTTAAGACATAGTTTGGAATTGAAATTTTCCCAAATTATAATCATCATCATCTTCATCATCACCATCCACCAGCACCAGCAATACCAAAAGCAACACCAGAATCAATATGAGCACTACCACCATTATCACCATCACCACCACCACCACCACCATAGCAGCAGTAGCACCACCACCACCACCACAGNAGCCATAGCAACCAACCCTCGACGTACAAACCGTAATCTTTGGTGAAATTCATCCTACAAAAAAAAGGGTTGGGAGACAAAGTAATAGAAAACATTTTCCATGTTTGCATAGCCTGATATAAACACAAGGGGGGTTGGGAGAATTTGAGACAGTTATGCAAACCCGAGACAAAGTCTTGACGTCACAACCATACTGTCATGCAAACATGCCTCTCGGCCAATCAGAGCACGCGTACTATCTTAGTTATTTTATAAATAAAAAGAGCAATACAGCATAATCACAGTCAAGGTATAAGTCCCACTCAAGCCAAACTGAATTTTCCTTAAATAGGTAGCTCAAAGTTTTACTACTCTTCAAATGACCAACTGGATTTCCCCTACATGTTGAGATGTTTTGATCTGTTACCTGCATATTTAATTGGAATTTAAATTTGTTGTCACACAATATTACTCAAGCCCACTTCACTAGCCACCTTTGAGATAATACAAGACTGCAGAGCATATATAAAAATAATATAACATCAGCAATATTAATAATATTTTGTCACTCAATGTAAATAAATTATTTTGCCAAAGACAATAATTTTAAGACATAGTTTGGAATTGAAATTTTCCCAAATTATAATCATCATCATCTTCATCATCACCATCCACCAGCACCAGCAATACCAAAAGCAACACCAGAATCAATATGAGCACTACCACCATTATCACCATCACCACCACCACCACCACCATAGCAGCAGTAGCACCACCACCACCACCACAGCAGTACCAGCTCAGTCACCACCAGCACCCCAGCAGCACTGGCCCCCCCACCACCACTACCATCATCATCATCATCATCATCATCATCATTCAATGATTACCAGTTTAAACAAGATATAATTTATATTCACCTTGAATGGCTGACCATAAATGGACTCCCCTCCTGTATTAATGCATAGAAAAAACATATAAACTGTTAGAGCTATAGAAAAAGTACATTGGTTTCTCACTACATGCAAACTAAAGGACCAGTATGCATATTTTTTCTCAAGACCAGGACAGTCATCAAGTAAGTTGTTGAGTACGCTTTAAACGTTGCTAGGATACAGTTTCAAAACCGGGCCTAATACATACCTGTACCTGCCCTCGGTACAGCAGGTTCTGTTATGAACATCGTTGTATCCATAAATGGATACACACACAAAAACCTAGTTTGACAAGAGAAAACAAGATTGACTAGTCCAGAAGTTTGGGCTGCAACTACTTCAAAGGATTGTCATGATTCTGTCAGAGCCTCTTTTTCTCTTCCTCCATCAAGAAGAAGACGAAACAAGGTAAGGATGATTTTCTAGTTGCCCAAGAGCAAGTGCAAAACCCTGGGTTGGTTTCAACATACTTTGGTTTTCCTAATTACTCTTACTGGAATCAAATTTCTTGCTCACCCATTCCTGTTCCAGTTGGGTCTCCTCCTTGGACACAAAATCCTGAAATAAAAGAAAACAAGATCCATGGCTTACATTGTTATTGTATGACAAGAGATGCTAAACCTGCTAAATGTGTCTTCGCAACCAATCACAGAACGTTCTTCTCCAACCGTCCATGAATTTTAAATTTCCACCTGAAATCTGTTTTTAGAACTTTTAGTCTGGTGATCACTTAGTGCATGAAACCCCACGTTATAACTTACTTTTAATCCTTTGCATTTGTATATATATCCAAATCATGCATTTTTCATTTACAAGATAATTGGCCACGATCTGATTGTTTAAGTGACTGAAAGCATATTTGAGATCAATATAGTTCAAAAGACCCTCATCCAATAGTATCACTAGCCCTGACATGACAATTTGGTTTTATTGTTTAGCTTTTACCTTTGACAATTCTATGAAAGATAGTCCCATCATAATACCCTTCTAAACAGAGCTGAATGAAATTTCTGCAAGCTTTTGGGGCTTCTTTTGACCACAGTTCAATATCAATTTCACCGCATGTTGTGATGAGAAGCACCTAAAATAAATTACAAAATTTAATTTATCAAATAATTATTTTAATAGTTTACAAATTTTTGAAAAGGAGACAAAAAGTACTGAATGAAACCATGCCCAATGTCGATCAGATCGACATCAGTTTATTTTCTAATAATTATGGACATAGGCATCTTACCTTTCCATTTGTAGGGGGTTCCTGGATGTATATATTGCTCATGATGTCCAAAAAAGAGAGAAATAGTTACTTTTCCTTACAAACTGTATGTGACAGTGACAACATAGCTAGTCCGAACAGCGGCTTTGCCTGGAAGCGCAGCCGTAAAAACAACTCCACGTGGATCAAATTCAAGATGGCGTCCAGACTGACCTTGTTACGAAACTTGACTTTCAGAAGGAATCTTGGCCTTCTTTGCACACAAGTAAGACGATCATTGCTACCAAAATGTTTCTTTGCCTTGATTCTTTGAAATGACGACTTACTTTTTTCAGAGCCGGCCAAGTCTTGCTAGGACGCGATCAATTTTGCCTCATGCATCCTTCCAGCTGAACGCGATCAGTTTTGATAAGGTAAATCTCGAGTATTCAAGAAATCTTGTTCCAATATTTTATTGTTATTATTTTTCTAAGAATAAGCGTGTGTCCTATTCCGTTTAAACTTGCAGAGGATGGTAAACCAAGGACAGGCTTTGCGATTTCTAAGAACAACCTCAGGTTTGTTTGAACATTCCTCTAAATTATCAGCTGAACATTAATAAAATTATTTTGTCATCTCGATTTGTGTGGTGATCTTGTTTTAACTTATTTCTGTTTTTACTTTTACCAGTCATCAACAATTTGGCGTTCTATATGTATTATCTTACCGCCCTCTCAGTGACAGATCTTTACAAAAACTCGTAAAAGTTTCTAAGTTTGTTGGGGGTGTGTCGGGGGAGGGGTAGAATTTTTCTTAATAGGGTTTTGAGAGTACATATCTTGAAAAGGGTTCCTTTTTCATTAACACAAACTTATTTGTGTCATTCAAGTGAACAGTTTGCACGGTACAATTGGTTACAAATTAAAAAATATAAAAAAATTTAAAGAATAATAAGGTACCTGACGGGAAAACTAGTTACTGGAGAGAACCCTTCCGTACTTTTTAATATATCAGGCAATAACTTTTTTCTCATTGATAATATGCTACAACTAATTTGATTAGAAATGCTGGACTGGCAAAAGAGCATTCTCATCTTGTTTTGCTACTTACCCATGCAACCATCAATTTTTTTTTCAATCATTCCAGTCACAGAGTAAATCATTTATTAGTTTGTATGGGTGTGATTGTTATGTACTGATAATCTGTTTGTTTGTTTGTTTTAAGGTATGAATGGAGAAATTCTGCCATTCAAATTATCTGACATAGGAGAAGGAATTGCTGAAGTAACAATCAAAGAATGGTATGAGATGTTCTCTTTTACCTTTTTTGCAACCTGTATCTGTGAATTAAATAGTAATAAAACTGATATATAATTTAATCGGGCAAAAGAAATTATTCTTAATCTCTGGATAGATAAACGCAAGTTTAAAAATATGTGTAAAGACATGAGTGTCTTTTTTGAGACTGCAAGATTTAGTCCGCATCAAAATTTTCCGGTCTGGAAGTGGTTTAACCCTTTTATGCTAGAGTGAATAATGAAATTTCTAAGTAACTCTTACTTTGGAGTCTGAGGACAAAATCCTATGTTTGTTTGTTTTTTTTTTTTGCTATTTGTTTGTCTGTGAAAGGGTTAATTTTCAGTGTACTTCTGCTGAAATGCTTAGTATCATACTGTATTGGAATCAGGTTTAAAAACCAAAATTATTGAGGATACTGTTAATTTAGATCAGAGAAGAGACCTATTTGTGTTTTCTCTTTAGGTTTGTGAAGCCAGGTGATCATGTCAGTCAGTTTGACAGCATTTGTGAAGTACAGAGTGATAAGGTTGGTAGAGCTGTGCATGTGAGGTACAGGCAACCCACAGCAAATGCATTTTATTGTCAGTGAACCACCTTGGTTCTTGTAAAATTACAGTGTTTATGTGGTGAAGGGAAGTAAGATTTGGTTCAAATTATCATCCATTCCAAAAAGCAAGGGTTCAAGAAATCAGGATTCTGCTGTATTGATATTATTGTTTTTTTCTCTGGCTGTAGTATTTTGTTAGAATTTTTAGAACGTTGACCATGAGTAGTTGGTTTTCTGAAACAGTTTGAGGGAGTTAGTTTGACTTAGTAGCATTTCAAAGAAGAAAGTTCAAGCATATATTTGCATACATAGAAAAAAGTAGAGAGTTTTTATTACTCTACAGATCAGTTTGCGTAAGAGCTGAGAAAACAGCCAGTGAATTATTAGCCTCAAGCTATTGAAACTGGCAATAAAAGTGCTTAAAGAAAGCCCGTAATGTTCACCTAACATTTAGTTACAATAATTGTGGACCCTAAGATTACAGACAAACAAACTTCATTCTGTTTGTTGATATAATAGGCATCTGTTACCATCACCAGTCGTTTTGATGGAATCATCACCAAACTTTATTATGAAGTAGATGATACAGCTAAAGTTGGACAGCCCCTGGTGGATATAGAGATTACCTCCTCCACTGAGACTAGTAAGTTTATACCCTGCCTCTATTGCAAGGAGTGTCTGTAATTAAATTTTGCTGAAAAGCCTCACTGTAATTTGGTGCATTAGCTTAGTTAGTTTGGTTAAGTGCCATCCCTTGCCTGTTGAGTGCCATCTCTTGCCAGTCACATTTCTCTAGTTTTGCTGTTCTCAGTTCTCCAACAGTCTCCAAACCTAGTGTCCTCAAGCAAAGTGTGTGCAATAGTAAGTGCTAAATCTAGCCCCATGTGAAAGTACTGCTGAAGAGGTTATTATTGGGTTATAAGGATTTCTTGCACAGACTCACCTTATACGGCATGATATGCAGTGCTACAGGAAAGTACTGCTCAGAAACTTTCATTTGAAAGGTCACTCTCAATTGCACTCAAGGATTACATCCATAGAATCAAAGTTAGAACTACATGATGAATTATGCATATTTCCCATTTTTGACTTAAGAGGTAAAAAGCTTCAAACTGAAAGTGTGATAATTAAAAAACATTGAGACTTGCTTTTAAAAGCTTCAATTCCCATTTCAGTTATCGGGACATACCATCCATTGTACATGAATTCCACTGATGTAACTTTGTTCAGTATGTTCAGACTGTACATCTCATATCATTGTTCTCGTTTTTTAGATGCTGACAAAGTGCCGAGCCCAGCTGAAGATGTCATGGCTGCCCAGCAGAAGCCCAAACCAACACATGCTATAGAAGAACCTCTTCCTCCACCACCCCCATCCCCACAGTCAACAGCATCACAATCTATGGCTCCCTCACCCCCTCCCCCACAAGCTGCAGAACAGATGAAGAGTGGTAGTGGAAAAGTACTTGCCACGCCCGCAGTGCGCAAGATTGCAATGGAGCACAATGTAAGTGGAATCCTTTACCCAGCTACAAAGCTGACCATCCATTCTTTCTGTATTTCTGACACAAAACCAACTCACTGGCTACCTTGATCTCTTTACCACTGCAAAGCTCTAATTTGAATTTCGGGTTCATGTGCTGCTTTTCCAGATAACACTTGGGGATGTTTCAGGAACAGGCAAAGATGGTAGAATCTTGAAAGAAGATATTATGAATTACATTGAAAAAATGAAATCAGCACCAACTGCAGGTAAGTTCGCCATCACAATGTCATCAGGTTTGAACTTAATGTGGATTGGATCCCCTCCCATACAGCATTCCATTATAATACTTCTATTCATTATCAATGTTGAACTCACACTCTTAGTGGCCCTTAGATGATCTTTTATATATAGCTGCCAATTCTTTATGAATAAAATCCAGAATTTTAATGCCTGGATAAGCAATTTATCATTCAGAATTCCAATGTTTGGAAAAGCCAAAGTCCAGAATTCCAATGTTTGGAAAAGCCAAAATCTAGAATTCCAATGTTTGGAAAAGCCAAATTTCAGAATTTCAATGTTCGGAAAAGCGAAAATCTAGAGTTCAATAAACTGCAAAATTTGCAAAATTACATATCTCTACCGTCTGTTAGGGGAGTGTGGATTTTTTCTGGAATAACTTATAACCCAGTCAACAATCAAGTTTGAGGAGCTGAGTAGCAAATGGAAATTTATTTTTTATAACAGACTTTGATTCTAGAAGCTAAACTTATACTGAAGTGAAGAAATTGAAAAGTCAGATTAATTAGATTAAGTCTTCAACCTTTGACTAGTGATGATCTTCGATTATCTTCTGGGAACATAAAACATTTATAAACTGGCAAGGTCATAGGATCTGTATCTTTGGTATAGACAGTTGAAGTGACTTTACAAGAAATCTCCATGACTCGCCAACCTTTTGTGCCAACTATGTGTCTTTACAGCTCCTTCGACCCCCGCAGTAGATGTGCGAGAAGCAGTCCCCACTGCCCCACCCACTCCAGTCGGAAGACCTGAAATGATACTGGAGGATAAAACAGAACCAATCAGAGGAATTAGAAAAGCTATGGCCAAAGTAATGACTGCATCTAATGCAATCCCTCATTTTGGCTATAAGGATGAAATAGTTCTAAATGAGCTGGTCCGGTAAGTACCTAGCCTGTCTACAGACATCCCCCTCCCCTCAGAAAAAATGGGGGAGAGAGTCTCTCTCCCTGATTTTTTCTGAGGGAGGGGGGCATCTGTACACAGGCAAGTACCTTCTATAGATTGTTTTCACTCATGTGATCAGCAGCTGTGCAAATTTCTTCAAGTTAAACAACATTTTTACATGAGATAAAAGTTCATTCTCCACAGGATTTTTCTGTACACCAGCATGGCGCCTGTTTCATTGTTTTAAACACCAGTATTAGCTGTTAGGGTAGAATTCTGACAAGCGACATGGCCTTGAAAGAGCGACATAAGACTAGATAAAATGGCGACAAACAACATAAAGATGGGTTAAATACCAACGGGGAATTGGAATTTTGAAATGTTGGTTTTTTTAAGGAGAAAACTGGAGTACCCAGAAAAAACCTCTTAGATCGAAAAAGAACCAACAACAAACTCAACCCACATATAGCCATGAAGATAAACTGTCTCGTTAACCCTTCTTGGAGACACTGGGCTTGTTTAATGAGACCTCCTCTACAGTACACTTTTCTGAAAATGGTTCTAAACAATTGCTTCTTTTATTGTTTTTTCCTTTATCTTGGGCACCTTTTCGGAGTAACAAGGTTAATAAGTTGTTTAGTAATCATATGGTACAATGATTATTTTATTTGACTGCATCCAGTAATTTATTTTACGGCCGCAC